TTTAAAAGAACCTGAGGATTATACTCCGGCTGATTTGCAAAATTATAAAGAAATTTTGGAAGCTACAAATGGGCATTTAAAGAGTTACAAAGATGGAGCACCAATTTCAAGTAATAGACATACTAAATATCTTAATATAATTAAACCTCTATTTAAATCTGTTGGTGAAGGTTTGAGACAAGTGACTGGTAATAAAATAGACTATATTTATTGGGATGATCCTAATGAGCTTGTAGATAGGTTAAGACTTCTTTGGCTAAGTCGCCAAGCCGGTAACTCAGGAGTGGATAATGAAATAGATTCCATTATTGAGGAATTGAGAGAAAGTGGTATTATTTATTAAATAAAAATATGTTTATAGATAAATTTTATCGTTTATATAATCCATATAATAAGCCTGCAGAACCCAGGGCTAGTCATGAACCTACTTTAAATTTACAAGACGATAGTTGGAATGGTTTAAACCGTAAAATTGGTAATGTTAAAGATGGGGAGATTGTAGATGATGTATCAACTTTGGGACAGACATTAACTAGAAAAGGTGATGTCTTTTTACAAGGTAAAACTAAATATGAGTTTTTAGAATCTAAGAATACAAATTGGAATGCTAAAAAACAGAAAATTACTAATGTGAAAAAAGGTGAAAGTTTAGATGATGTGCCCACTTTACAACAGACTTTAATACGTAAAGACGGTGGTACATTTGTACAAGACAATAATAATTATGAATTTTTAGAATCAGAGAATGGTGTTTGGAATGCTAAGAAACGGAAAATTACTAATGTGGAAAAGGGTGAAAGTTTAAATGATGTGCCCACTTTACAACAGACTTTAATACGAAAAGAAGATGGTAAATTTGTACAAGACGATAATAATTATGAATTTTTAGAATCTGAGAATGGTGTTTGGAATGCTAAGAAACAGAAACTTAGCAATTTGATGGAAGGTACAGATAGTAAAGATGCTGTGAATGTTTCACAAGTTCCAAAAATGGAAGCAGGCTATTGGGATTTTAATAATAAAAGGTTAGTACGTGTAAAACCCGCCGTTGATGACACTGACTGTGTTACAAAAGAACAGACTATAACTTTTGATAAAAAAGAAAAATGTTGGGATGCCAAAAAACAATTTATAAGGAATCTGCCAAAGGGGGAATATTTAGATGATATTTGTTTAATGTCACAAGCTATGTATTATGATGGATCAAAATTTGTATATGCAGGAAGAAAATTTAATTTGATGGAATACAATCCTGATTTATTAGTTGCCGACCCTACATCTTTGAGTGGATTTAAGTATATAGATAATAGACCTTATATACCAGAAAACTATGTATTTAAAAGAATGGAAGATAATCTATTGATTGGGGCTAATGGTAATATATTTACAGTACAAGGAAAGAGTGATGTTATAAAAAATGAATGAAATTGCATACGAACTTCATAAGCCTGCAAGAAAGAATTTCATTAGAAGATCTTTTAAAGTATTAGGTATAAACGAAACCTTACAAATAGATTTAATTGATATGCAAAACTATGCTAGAGAAAATTCTGGCAATAAATATATTTTAACTTTAATAGATACATTTTCTAAAAAAGCTTATGCTGCTCCGCTAAAGAATAAGACAGGGTTGGTGGTTACAGAAGCCATTAAAACCATTCTACCAAAGGGGGTTAAAAACATTCAATCTGACAATGGAAAAGAATTTTTTAATCAATATTTTAGCAAACTAATGAAAAACTTAAATATTAATCACTATCACACATTTTCTACAACTAAGGCTGCAATTGTGGAGAGGTTTCAGAGAACTTTAAAGAATTGGTTATATAGGGAATTTAGTGCTCAGGGGAGTTATAAATGGTTGGATTTACTTCCAAAGTTAATTCGAAAATATAATAATAAGGTGCATAGATCTATAGGAATGAAGCCTAACCAAGTGAATATTAAGAATAGTAAATATGTGCATGAGAGGTTGACTTCTAAAGTAGTGCAAGTTAAGAAGCCAAGATATAAGGTGGGTGATAGCGTGAGAATTTCCAAGTATAAACATGTTTTTAGTAAAGGTTATACCCCAAATTGGACAGGTGAGCTATTTACAATAGCAGAAGTTAAGAATACAAAGCCTGTGACTTATATCTTGAAAGATGAAAATGGCAATATAATCAGGGGAGGCTTCTATACAGAGGAGTTGTTAAAGACCAAATATAAAGACATGTATTTAATAGAAAAGGTAATTAGAAGGAAGGGTGATTTATTGTATGTCAAATGGCTTGGGTTCCCAAGTAGTCAGAATTCATGGATTTCCACTAAGGATGTCCAAGGGAGCGCGCCGTGAGCTGGGAGCACGTGCAAACCTCGCACTGTCAAGTTGATGATTTTGAGAATATACTTGTGAATGCATGTGGATTTGAAATAGTAATGAAGTTATACAATGGTATTGAACATTTATATTGAGGTGTACAGGCGAAGATCAGGATTTTTGGATTTGGTGGCTAAAAAATGATCCCCATGTTATTCTTATGGGGAAAAACGCCCCAAGTGACGTCATATTCTTCTATTGTCACTACTAATGGATGCAGTGAACGGCTTAATAGGACTATTTGTGAGTGTTTGCGTTGCATTTTAATTGACTCGAAAATGCCACAACACTTCTGGGGTGATGCTTTGCGATCAGCTGTGTATTTAATAAATCGAAGACCTACTGCAACTCTAGACGAAACTGTTACACCTGCTGAAATATGGTATGGATATAAACCTGATCTGGCAAAAATCAAACTCTTTGGTTGTGTAGCGTATTGTCATGTCGGTAAGGAACTTCGGAAGAAGCTGGGTGACCGCAGTTCAAAAATGATCATGGTTGGTTATGCAAACAATGGTTATCGTTTATGGGACCCTGTGAAAGAAAAAGTCATCATAGCTAAACATGTCAAGTTCTTTGAAAATGAGCTGTACTATGATGTGAAAGACATACAAGACATTCTACAGTTTGAATCTTCAATCTACATTCCGGCAAAAGGCCTTTGCTGCACTCGAGATCATCCCACATTGCTCTCGTGTGCAGCAAAGTGCTACTTTACCCACTAGTTACACAAATAACTATTTCAGTATTGGTTCTTTTCCTTGGTAGCAGCAAGAATCATTTTTACGTACCAACACATCACAATTTACAAATTAGTTATCTTCGGTGTTGCACCTCATTTATTACAGTCGTATTCATTTTAACTGATGTACCAAATAAAACATATTTTCCTGAAGATGTGCAGAATCCCTTTATAATTTAAAAAATGCACAAAAATAGGAAACAAATGGACTTGAAATAAAAAAATATAACAATGTTGGTGACGAAATAACAACAAAATATAAACATAAAATCAACAATAAATGGAAGTCATTCCAATCGCATGTATTATTTACAGCGAGGGGTGACAATACATACTTTTGTTCGAGTTTTCGACCATGGGGCGAGGTCTCGTAAAAATCGAATAACATTTCCAATGTATAAAATAAATACAAATAACTTTAACTAAAACATCATTGACGGATTAGTAACAATTTATTCTTTATGTGTTGTTAACCCGAAATGTTGGTTGTATGGCAACACCACACAGTCCATTGGTCATATTTACAACCTCATTCGCATTACCGGTCGCTTCTAATTGTATTTGTCGTTCGATTGTTTGGTTTGCCTATTAACGGCTCTTAATGGTTCATGTATAACCACAACACAACATACTAATGTACATGTAAATTAAATTATGCAGCAAAAATTGTGATATAAGTATTTCCGTAATTTGAATAATATTTTCACCATATCTTATAATTGTCGACAATATCATTTATTTGCATTTCAGGATATTGAATACTTTATAAGTTGTTTGATAGTTAATACTACTTTCTCTAGGGCACCTATTTGTGTTGCCAGCTGAACCTAAAAACGTGTTGTATAGTGTTTGAAAGACTAATTATTTATATGCTTTATAGTGACTGTAGGAAAAATATAATGTGTAACACGAGTGCAAAAGGCCTTCGCTGCACTCGAGATCATTCCACACTCGCCTGCGGCTCGTGCGTAATTTAATAATATTTATTGAAATATCACAATGGTTTGCCTAACATTAAAAAAGTTTGTAAAAAAATTCGAATCGTCAGCAGACAACTGTAAGTCACGTGTAATTACTTTTATTTATAGAAATGAATTTGCTCTAAAATTCAGGCACACCAACCACCAACCCTAACAATTGGCGAGTATTATTAATTATGCCTCGTATGAGTAGTATTTCATAAATTTCAAACCACACTTTTAATCAATCGTGATCTTTGTGTCTGAGTATAAATTTTATAAAAAATAATGTTTAATTCTATAATAATGAAGTTGTAGGTAATGCTACAAAATGAAAGTTCTATGAAAAATTTCAAATGTTTTCAATCATTATACCAAACTTACTCTGGGGTAGTGAATATATACATAAGTTCATGCATATGCTAACATTTTTCACACCAAAATGTTTCTGCCAAATTATACAAATAGAGATAAACATTTGTAAGAGGTACACCTCTGAATTACTGCACAGTTTACTGCACTGGCCTGAAATGGTTTTTTTCACTACTAGTGCTGAAAGTGACACATTTCAGGTCAAGATTGTTTGGTTTACGTACACGACTATCAAGGCCCGAAATGGATCTTAACGTGACGAGTAGTGAACTACACTTATCATCATGATGCAAAAAATGCAAAAAACCAAACAACGCTTTTTGGTTTAAAACAATAAAACAATATTCCGTAGGCTAGTAATTCTGTTAAAAATTGCCATAGGTTTGCAATTAATTTATTTCAAAGTAACCTGCAAAAAAATGTTCTCGTAATACAATAATGCATCAATTTACAGAAGTCAAATACCTCGCCGACATGCTTGTGTGTGTGTTTATGTGTAAACCTGAGTTTGTGTGCGCGCACGAGATGCGCATGCGCGTACCGACGCCGCCAAACTCACCAGTTGCGTCGCGTCTACGTTATCGAAGACATCGCGACCGTCGTACTACACGTTTCTGCAAACTACGTGTTTTTGCCATGATGTAATGTAAGTAAAATAGATTTAAATTCAAATTAATTAGGATAAAATTTGCTTTAGAACATAAATTCTTGAATCGAATGCAACATTTTATTTTTTGTATATATTTATTGTATAAATGTGAAGCAAGAAGCCTTGTGTAGGGAACCGCCTTTTATTTGAACTTTCAACAACTGCAATATTTAACACGTTTCATGTTGGAACAAAATGTATCTTAAGATTTTTTCTTAAATTATTTTTTGGTTGTTGAATATGGCAAACTTATTAATTCCTCGTAGTATAGGAAATAAATTTTGTTCATAGATCGAAAAAAGTAATCGTTTATATTACTACATTATATTCCATCGGTCAAAACATTGTGTTTTCTTTAATGCACAAATTAAGGTAGGCCTAGATATCATGAATATAAAATATTTATTTATTTTATAAATTTAAAATAATACTTCAAATGTGTTCAAAGTCCAACATGTAGTAGATGTTTCCGCATTTTAACTGTATTTGTTTAAGGGGGATAAAAAGAAAACTCGATTTTCTTTGCATTACAATTCAGTATCCTAAGTTATTTATATTTTTATTGATAATTGCAATAAATATTACAGAACGAACTGAATTAATAACGCCAAATATTGAGACGGTTAATAAATATATTAATGTATAATTTATTATGTAGCCTACCTTTTTATTCTAGTTTCTCTGCAACATTATAACAATAATGTTTACACAAATATAATCTATTATAATATACTATAGTTTACCTTTGCAGTAAGGTATCGTATTACAATAACTATTTCTAGTTTATTTTATTAATACATAGACTGGGATCTTTATTTTTGTGTCCATTATTTTTTTGTGTCCATTATTTACCAGAGCCAGGGTTAAATTATTTTTCCGTAAACATATTTACATATCTTGACTCTTCTATCACATTAAACTAAATTATTTTATCTTAATTTTTTATTCTTTAAATTAAAACTAATAATGTAAAACAACTGCTCCATTTCCAAGTCAAATGCATAATACAAAAGCCAGTCACATGGGTGTAATTACGTAGTCTCATTCATAATGGAGCTGTATAATTAGTTAAACGTTTACACTTCCTGAATGTCAACCTGACAACTGAAAAGGCCTAAATAATGTGGTACACGAGTAATCATATTGTCTAGTATGACCTTGAATCATTCGAATGATAACTTGAATTTTGTTTACAAGGTATTGTTTATTTATTATTATACAGATTATTTTGTAAAGTTTATTCACAGATTCTATTTATAATTTAACGCCAGTTTTGGGTTCAGGTTTTAGCATCAGACCTACAGTGATAGCTTATAAGGAATTCTCTAAAATCTTTTTGGGACTTATTGGACACACTCTATGTAAAGGTTTTATGTTTAAAGTAATGTAAATATGTGCAACCAAAGTATTGTATTGCTATCAAATGGACTATTTAAAAACCCTATTCTAAATATATATCAACTCATGTATACATATCATCATTATCAATATATATTTAATATTATTATGACAACACTGACCTTAATAGAATCTGAAGAGTGATTTTGTATTAAGTTAAAAGATTTTAAAGTAATATTTAGTAATCTGGCTTAATTTAAATTTTTGATAGCTGTATTTAGTAGTGAAATTATGAGTAAAGCTTTTTTAGTGTCAGGTATATGTTTATGGGAGGTTCAATAACCATACGCGTTATTACCATAACACTGCTATCTTTCAATATTGGACCCCTTGAGTGGTATGTGCCAGCAAGTGGCGAACCTGATAAAATATACCGCTTCAAAATTTAAATAAAACGTCAAATATTGATGTTAAAAATCGCGATCCTTCAAAGTTAACAACGCCATAGTTCTTTATTATGTTTTAGAAAATTTGACATTGCGTAATTACCACAGACTTTTGTGATATAACCCATCAGAATCATTTTATCATTTTGGCCCAAAAGCCCATAAAACACAATAATAAAGCCCATGGATAGGGTACGGATTTTTTCATACTTAAAAGCCTTTAAAAAATATTTTAAATCTGAGGTTTTGAAAATAAATAATTTAGTATTTGCAATTACTTACCCCTACAGATCCCTAAATATGTAGCCCCACATACAATGTATTGGGGATGAAATCTGTTCTTGATTCTATAAAACGATTTATCTTAAGTCTATCTCTTGTACTATTTTTTTAGCTATTTACTTGCCAACAATGCTAACTAACTTACTAATTACCTGCCTAGGAAAGTGTTAATTATTTGAAATTTACCTCGATATGTAACAAGGAGTTTTAATTCTCAGTTGAAAGGGTAGAAGGGCAGTAAGGGCCTAAACGGTTGGTCTGAGGACTCTTCACGTGTAAGGGTGGTTTTTGCCTCCCCCACCCCCTACAAAGGACCACGAGAATTGTCACATGACCCTACGTAAAAACTGGGTCAGCATTTTGCAGTGATGCGTTGTACATTCATTACCTGTTTGATTACTTATTAAAGTTTAAATTGTTTAAATTTTGCTAATAGTCTTAGTGTCTTGAAACTATACGTATACATAAGCCAAAATATTATCTTATAATGCCAAGTAATCGTATGTATAAAGTCATAATATTAATATATTTTATGTTTTAAAATTTTTAGATAGTGTTCCACTTTTTTTGTTATATTTTTAGAATTTTTTTTTACTAATACACATCCGTTATAAACTTATTTGACGAAATTTCCCCCTTTTTTACCAGGGATTTATTGTCCCAGCCTAATGCCAATTTTGTTTTAAGTACAAATAAAATAGCATTTGTTATAATATATTGCCTGTAGACATAGTAAGTATATGTAAAAATCTGTCAAAATTAATTTATCGTCAAAACAAAGTGGTCGATGTATTCCAAAAATATTTCCCCACAACATTTATGTGGTTATAAAGTCCCACGTCCTAAATATAAACTTGGCGTGCAGTTAAACGTGAGATTTAATGTGATACGCGTGCTTAAAGACTGATAACAAATATAGGTGGGCATAAATCCGGCCTGTGACCAATACTATAGGATATTAACTAAAAATATACTCGGACCGTTTTAGTTAAATTTCCAATGTTTGTGAATAAAAGTTTTGCTTTTTTTCAGAATTAATACGACGTGATCTGAAAAATAATACAGTTTAAGCTATGTTTTATATTTTATGTTTAGATTTAGTTATTTTTACTCGTGTTTTTGTTATATATAGGCATTTTACATGTAAAAAATACATTGAATTTTTGTTGAATTTTTTCGTGGTTAATGTTAGCCAAAAAATGTTATTTAGCCGCTTTTTTAAAGCCAGAGTATGTAATTTTCTTCGAAATATCTTCTACAATATTACTAAATCAATACAATGTTTTGTATTATAATGAAAGAGTTAATTTAATTCTCCTCTTTTTGATTATTAAGTTTAACTTACATTCAAATATGAATACTAATAATTGATTAATCATATTAACTCACAATTTCAACCATTATTTTTTAATCCATACATTGTTTGTAAAGTCTATTACTGTTTAGTTTGAATACCTTGATAATAAATTAAATATTTTATAATGATGTTTTTATTTAGATGTTGTCATAACATTAAGAAAATTTAAGAAATTAGTCATGAATAGAAATATAACTAATAAGTATAAACATTTAATTTAATTAAAGATTTTAACTACTGATTTAAAATATTGAAACTTTATTCTATTAAAAAGCATAGTTGTATGGTTATACATAAAAAATAAAATCCCTTCATTTAGAGTGGTGTATTTAATATTTAACCGAAATTTGTTTTGTTAGAAGACCCTACACATGTTATCACGTAAATTAATGTATAATAACGTTGGTAAAAAAGTGTGGGAATTAACACCGTGCTTAAAATTAAAAAATAATGATAACCGATATTTTCTCCGTCAATTTCTAACGAATTTTACAGTATCAGTGACATTTCATAATGGCAACAGTCGATGTATTACTTTTTGGTGGGATTCCATTAATAAACACTTTGGTCCCTTTACTTTAAACCCCATATTATTTACATTCGAATTCCATGGCTATTATAATGCATTTTAATTTATAAACAAATACAGTTTTGTAAATGGTGTTTTATTTACATACTGTTTGTTAATTTATTGTGGCTATCTATGGCAGTGGCATTTATTTACTTTTTTTGTAAGGACATGGTCAAAACTTAAACAATTTTTGTTAAAGCAAAAATTTTTTGTTTTGTAAGAAAAACGGTTTAAACTCAGGCCTTATTACTATTAAACTTCAGTTTTTTTGTTAGATAGCATCATTATTATCATTATGATATTGAGATGAGGAGGCCATCTGCGTATTTTTCCCCCAAATATGAGTGAAGGATGAGTGTAGAATGGTGTGAGATGATCTGTGTAGTGTGTAGCTATCTATTAATTGATAACGCAATGAAAAACTTCACTGGGTATGATAACAATCTCGCTAAGAATCGAACAATGAAACAACCAAAAAATAAATCCATGGTTGTATTTATTCCAAAAATTTACTTAAATTATTTCATCTGTAATTTCCTAATTTTAAACCTTACAAACAATAAACGCTTACACTTTTTTGTCAAAAGCAAACAAATTATTTTCTAGAAGAAGATTCATAACAAACATATTTAAAACAGTCAAATTCTGAGTTTTTTTTATTTGAAATAAACGTTACTCATAGGCGAGTAAAGTCATAGGTTGTCCCGGCCTACGACAACGCTAGAGGAAACGACGCGACACTTGCGTTTGTCGCACCCGTCTATCTTTAGCCACTGGCGGCCAGCTGGCGACAAGCCAAACCGTGACAAATATCACTACGATCTTCCACACTTCATTCACTCAACGCACAATGGACGTTTAGCATTTGCTACAAACTATTATCCCTTGATGCGAGTGTTGCCATTTAGTTTACGCTTCGTTGTGAGTTGTACTGTCAGTGAAAATGATAAATTTTCTTTAAACAAATATTTTGATATTGATAATATTGAGTTTTAAACTGTTA